CCCCCCCCCCAGAAAGACTAGAATCAATTGGAGTTGGATGGCATTAGCTGAACAGAGTGCAGGCAGAATGGTCTAGGGTGGTGTTCTTGAGAAGCGGAAAGCCAACAAAGGTCAACAATAGCAGCTGAGTTCACCAAAAGAAACAAACAGCCAGTTTTTATTTCTCTCTCCTGCAGATTTCACAACAGTAACTCCTTCTGACCTCTCATGACCACACTAGTACTGCTCTGGCAGCCTGTTTGTATATGAATGCATGTGTCCATCAAACCAAAATGGAGGTAAGTAAGCATTCATGCAGGAAAAATCCACCTCAACTGTACTTCCTCAGCATCACAGAACAACTAGTCGCCTCAGCCTCCTCTCATTCATTTACTACATCACACTGCTGCCTACAGACTGCTGAAATGCAGATTACCATGTGTCACATGCACCTGTACCTCTCAAAATATCTCAAACTGTTCTGAAAGGCGGGAATTCATGTTGAGTGCAACAGCACTTTTCCTTCTCTGTCTGTGAATCACGTTTAATCAAAAAGGAGATTAGACAGATCAAGTTATTTGGGTTGTGATTATTCTCTGCCTCAGATCACAATGGTGTGAGCGTACAATCAGTTAGACACTCTGAGGAGGGAGGAAGTCTGATTACCCCCGATTAGAGCAAAAATTCCTCGCTTCTTATCATTGACAATGTAGACACTAATCTGAGCGCTGATTGGTTGAAAAGGATCCAAGCACAGGGCATTCTTTCGGCAACAAGGTCACATGAAAAGAGTGAGTAAAAAGTTCAAATTTTAAACTTTTTACTCTATGAACGATGCGAGAAGTGGATGTTTGGATGGTTAATCTTAAGTATTCTCGGTTTGTTGTAACCTAAGTTTCTCTGTGCCATGTATTTATAGCCAGGCTATACACTTTAGTGTATGTGAGTCTCTCTATTCATTGTCTCCATCTGGCTAGCTAAGTGCTGCCGCTCTGTGCTCATACAGAGGTTACCACTGATAATGCTGTCCCAAGTCATAAAGTAATCGCAGGAGTGTAGAACCCGCCCTCCGGTTCCCTCTCAGGTAAACTCTATTAGCTTCTATTAGCACTGTTTCAGTTGTTTGCACTGTTTGTGCTGTTAGCACTATTAGCTGCTAGCTAAGCTGTCTCCATGTTGAGAGCCGTGTGGAGGCAATACATATGCTCTGAATCATCCAATCACCAGCCTGACAAGTCAAGAATGTTGGGCATGTACAAGTTCAATTCACAACCAGTTTCCTGTATTCTTTTGTGTTGTCCTTACTCTGAGGAAGGTGAGGTCCCGACTGCGGTCGATGCTTGTGATCTCAAGGTTGCCCATTACAACTTCACAGTTCTCGTAGTATTTCCTCAAGGTGCGATACTGCTGCTCCAGGTCCGACAGGGTGCTCAGCTTGTTCTCTGTACCAGCACATACTAGGGAAATAAGGGCACAGAGGGATAAGTGTTACTACAGCAGAGTTCAATTTAGAAAACAAATACACACACACACACACACACACACACACACACACACACACACACACACACACACACACACACACACACACACACACACACACAGATAGACAGACAGGGTGCAACTCTATTTTTCTCAATTTTCACTGGGAAAAAAGCTTGAATGTTGTACAAACTGCAGTACTGGTAACCTTGATATGATTTTCCTATCATATCTAAATTAATGAACAGCAACTGAAGGGATTTTATATACAAAAAAGCTGGTTTGTGTTTTTATATGCCAGACTTGGTGCAATAATCATCAGAGACAATGTAGTGTAAACAGGAGCCCATGGACAGTGAGCTGTAGCACCTGTTCAACCGGCCTGGTCATGTAAAACCAGAAAGTCACTGGACCTCACTGCACCCTAACCACACCTCATATCACCCATTGGGGCACACAGAGTACATGGAAGCGCTTCAGCTGCTAGCTGTGCTGCTCATTTCACAAGTAATTAAACAGACCCATTTCCAAAACACCCATTTCCAAAACCCCCCCCCCCCCCCCCAGCCCCCCACCCAAACCTCATGACGACACAATCTGTCCAATCAGCGGTTGCTGCCCACTCTAGCATGAAGACGCACATACATATACGTATATGTGCATAGATTTAGATGGCGAAAAAAAAAAGCACATCAATCTAAAAAAACAGCTTTGTGTAAACACCAAAACAACAATCCCCCAACAACCCCCTGCAATCGACCGAGATTAGATTGAAGCCTACATTGAAAGTGTCCTTCTGGACTTAAAACACAAGCCACGTTGACAGCATTATGTGCCCCGACTCTATTAATCCAAGCTTATTTTGTAAAGCCGCTGAATTGCAGCCAACTTTAAGACGTAGACACTGACATTTGTTCTTTCGAAGCATAATAGTGTAGTTTAATTTGCATTGCCATGCGCGGTGTGGTTTCTTCTACCTGCACCCTCTGGATGACAGAGGAGCCATTGGTGTGAAGGAGGGGTGGCAGGTCCTTCCCTGAGTCTTGTCACACTGTCACCCATGAGCGGTTACCTCTCTCTCTCTGAACACCTTCACCCTGAAAGATCTTTACTGACGCTTTGCATTTTAATCCAATATCCCTTACATACCCTATAATATACATTAAACTTTCCCTTTTTATACCATATACCCCCTAAATTCAATAGGGGGTAAGCAATAAGCAATAAACTAAGCCAAACTCATTTACCCTTTATCTCCATACAGTCAGTCTGTGGCAAATTTTTCAATTCTAGTTCCTACTTACTCCCCATCAATACACCACAGACACGTATGGGGAAAAGAGGATTTAGCCTCAAGGCAATACAAGCTGTAATGACAAATGGAATTGTGTTCAAACACTTCCACATCTAAGCAGATATCAGATAAGTGGAACTATTCCATTGTGACCTGGACAATACCCGTACAATCTCGTGGTGATTAGCCAGGTTGCACATAGCATAACGTGCTACTAAGGAATGATATATGACAGTCCTGGGTGTTTTCAATAACAGTTAGCGTAGGCTTCAGGGGAGAAGGGCGGAGGGTGAGGTGGGGGTCATAAAGCGAGGATAGGTGTAATAAACTGTTATTGCACCCTTGGGGCAGGGTACCGAGATCAGAGGAATGGGGCATTGTGGCATGCGGCGTCTGGTGGAATTTATACCAATATGCTTCCTCAAGCGTGCATTCAGGAAGCCTGCTGACTTTGGAAACCTGTCTGGATGGGAAATCTAAAGGCTTTTGTTTTTCTCTCCATTAGTGTTGTCTAATGAAACACTATGAAATCCTATAGCTCTGCATGAGCCTGAGAAGGCGCTGACTGCCCAGTGAACCACAACAAAACCATCTGTGCAGCAGCATGTAGCGTATAGGAAGTGTGAACTGTTGCAGAGCTGTCGGTGATCATTCTGGTGATACGTCTGCATGTGTATGAGCATGGGCCGGCCGTAAATAATAGACCTCAGAATGTAGCTCCCCTCTCTCACTGCATGATCAAATCAGTTTGTCTTCATGCTCAATATGTAACACCTGAGCCTGTGCATTACAGTAAAGGTTGTAGAAAACACAGCCTCTGCTCTTTATGTTGGTGCAGCCTGCCTACCCAGGAGGAGATGCTATAAGAAACTGAGTTGTCGACTGTTTAACATACTGCCTATGATGCGGGAATAGACTGCGAGAACAGATGAATCTTCACATTGTTTAAAAACTTACGGCCGCTCAATAAAACAGAATCCATCTCATCGGTTTGATGGATTTCAGTCCCGGGCACACTTAAAGCAGAGAAAGCCAATGAGGTTCATTCTCTCTATTCCATATAGAACGTATATTTTTGCCAGTGTGAGTAAATTGATTTAATTTATTTGCAGGGAATTTCATCTCAGAAGTGAGGGATTAAGGCAATGAATCATAATAATTCAGGATTTTCCAATAAATGTAATTAATGAGAAGATTATAAGTTGATGGGTGGATATTCATATCTGGATCAATTTGTATGGTCTAGAAGGGAATTTAGTTTAGTTTTGTTCCGCAATGCTTTAAAATAGGCAGTGAGATTGTGAGTAAGCTTGTTTATCCCCTCATTACTTGTTTATCCCCTCATTACTAGAACAAACATATTGTAATATACACGTACCACGTGTTAGTGGGCACAGACAGACAGAAGCCAGCCTTATCTCCATTGAATATGACAAAGAAAATAAACTCTCTCTTTCTCTATTCTGCATCCATTTATCCTTCTCTCACAAGTCAGTCACAAACTTTCTGAGGGACAGATGGGTTGGTAGCTGGTTTTAAATGGCTTTCATGCAGCCGCCATGTGTCTCCAACAGACAACCACCAGACAAGACCAGAATGCATCTATCACGGTCTCTGACACAATCGCAGTGTCACTGACAGATATAGAGGGAATGCAAACAGTGAGCTCTCTACATAAAACACAAAACAGAAGAAAAAAAAACGTTTAAATGTTTGCGCAGACTGAAAAGCCCCTGAGCCTCATTTTCATCCATTTTTTTTTCTTATAAATATCCTCATCAGGATTAAGTTGGCACTCCACTGCTGTGGTTCCTGCTCCTTGCCAAAGTCATTTCATAGGTAGTGCACACAACAACTTCATCAATAGTGCCTTGTGTGATTATTGAATGCCTATAAAGCTGGTGAGTCTCAGAGGTTCATAGGCTCCTGCCAGGGAAGCCGGCAAAAGGTCATCCCAATAGCCAGTAACTGACTGAATTAAATAAAGTTGCAAATGTCACTTCCATAAGTAAACACTGTCAATAGCTGAGCTTGGCTAACGTGCCTTGAATAAACAGGGGGGACCTTGTAGAAGTTGCACTCAAACACTGCCTCTCACAGGACACAAATTACTACGTTTTCTGTCATCGAAAATAAAAAGTGTTACATTTGAGGTCAGAGCTGTCCTTTGTCCCGTAATGTCCCCCAGATGAGCTTTTCTGGCTAAGTATGAGTTGCAAGCCACTGCTTCTGATGGTAGTCATGGCCCAGATTATTGTCCATCTGCTGAGCGGCTTAATAAGCATCAGAAACAGTAACTAGATGAGTGTTCGTGATGACGGCACGGCCCAGTAGCGCTAACCTCTCACTGCCCTCTGAGCTCTGGTCACCTACCAACAACGCTGTCGCTGTCTCCATATGGTCGACCATAAATTAGCATTCATCCCATCGCTGGTGCACACAGGACCAAAACCGTGTGGGAGTTTTCAGTAGAGGAATGCTTGCAGCTGCCTGCGTGCACCCTTTTGCTAACAGATTGACTACAGTACATGTATCTGATATATTTCAAATTTGACTAACAATTGGTCCATGGGTATATGATCAGTACATCTACGGTATTGTTTAGTCTCACCGTCCTCATTAACCCTCATTCCTGCAGCAGGCTCTCGTCAGCAGGGCTCTACTCTATTAGAACTGTGAGTATAAAAGACCTAACAACACAGGGGAAATAAAAAGCAATATGAGATTTCTAAAAACAGAGTATAACGCATGTAAATATATGCATAAGCACTCTGCGGGAAGTGGGTAAACATGTATTTACCTTCCATAACATCCCTGTATTGAACTTCAGTCCATTTCGAACATCTTTTTTAGTTAGAAATATTACTTTTTTGTCAATCTAAATAGCTATTTACACTCTCATTCATTCTCTCTGATGTTTGGTGTGACCGAGAGCTCAGTGATACTATAGCTGTCGCTGAGAAAGCCCGGTGTTGCCGGAGGGAAAACAAGATGGAGGGAGTGGAGGTTTTAAATGGAAGCATGCAAACAGTAATCAGGCCGCTAATAAAACACAACTGTAACCTATATGTCTGTCTGTCTGTGTGTTATGTTTGTTGTCAGTGCTGATGTTGGTTACTGTTGCTATTAAAGAAATAAATGAACTGCCATGTAACAAAGTGTAGCTCGGTATGCATACTTCATATATTTGGATATGACAATTCAGAAAATATCTAATATTTTTGTGGACAAACTCAAGATGGAATTTCAAATTGTATGTCTTTATTTGAACACATCGTATGTTTAATTCAGTGGTCCAGGGAGTTCCCAAAATTTTTTCATTTGTTTCTGTATTTACTGTGGGGAAACCGGTCAGTCCAAAGCCTAGAAAGTTTGAATGGCTGCACCCTATCCATTTATTCTCACACCATCGTGCTCTCTGTAGCTCTGTAAGATTTAAACTTGTCTCCAGACAAGAGAAATATATCCAAGTCACAGGGGAGTGATTGGCTGACACCGACATACACCTCATTACCCCAAATGCTCTTGCTGCTTCTCCTTGACTGAATGCACTTCTGACAGTAGGTCTAGTGAAAAGCCTTTTGGACCCTACACTGGCCAGTACATGCATGGATGTGTGTGAGTATGCTGTGTCCACATGTGCAAGTAAGACCCTCAGTTTTGACTTACCCTCCAAACACA